AACATTTTTTTACCTTTTAAGTAAAATGTAATAACTTGATTATGTATAGCAAAAGTATCCAGATATGTTGTTCTGGGTGCAACAATATTTCCTTTTTTTTTAATTATTAAATGCAAAATGAATATGTTTGGTATAGTCTTGGCTTAATTATTGCTCTATGTTCTTTCAGAAAATAAAAAAAAAATCTGTATACTCCAGTTAAAAGATTAATTGATAACTACATTATTTGACGATTATTTCAATAATTGATTAATCACGATTAGTTATTACAACCCTACTTTTTGTATTGGGAAAACATCTTTCCAGCTGCAATTGAGACTTAATTTCTGCTATGACAATAAAAAAGCTTCTCCCTTCCCATTTATCTGGCATTATGTTTGTCTTTTCAGATCAAACGTCGACCGGCAGAGGCGCTGCCTGAGCTGCTGCAACCGGTGTCACCCATCACTTGCTTTGAGGACTCCGGGCCACAGGACTCCGTTTCTGGACTGGCAAGTCTGGAGTCGGGCCTGAGCCACCTAGAGGTGGACGACTGGGACTTCTGACAGTAAAGGACTCAACAAGCAGAGGATTGTATGGAGAAACTCTTCACTGAGGACGGGATTTGTGATGTAATTGGTCTCCTTTTAAATGATTTCCATGGTATTTTAAAAGGAAGTTGTTATTCAGAGAAATTTAAAGCTAACAGTATGAGGGTTAAACTGGGCATGGAGGAGTAAATTTCTGCCTAATTACTCACCAATTTACAAGAAAAAAAGTAAATATGTAGGAAAAAAATTTAATTTTCTACATTTACAGGCAATAATTTATAATGTTAAAACTAGAATATTCTGACATTATAAAGTCAGAAATGTGCAGGAGGCGAAAAAACAGAATTTTACCAGGTGAAATCTCAAATTAAAGATAAAATCAGATATCTAATATGTTCTCTAAAAATGAGTTTTTCTTCTGAATCAGAACATCCTAAATTCACTGCTTAAATATTACTGTTGCAAACGTCCAGCTTTATAATCTCAGAGAAATTATTTTTGTTTTCTTCATTAGTTTTTTGGTTTTAAAATGTCAAAAAAATATATAAAATGATTGCCTAAATTCTGATAAATTCACAACTTATCAAACAGTCAACGGTTTGTTCTTGTAAATATATTAAATCTCACAACTTTTCAGTTTTTAGGTGGAAATTTACTCCACCATACCAGTTATTTTCTTTTAATGGTCCTGATACTCTGCACCTTTCTTGATGTCTTGCTCATGTTTTGTTTTCTAGAGATGCACAAACTGGCACTGAAGGCCCGATAACGCTTCACTAAAACACAAAATGCCATTTCTGAGTCGATCAGAAGCTGCTCAATATTTTTTCAGGAACACTTACTTTGCATTTAAATGGAAACTATCGTTTTCCACAGGTGACTGTTGCCGCCTCAAAGAAATGTTCATGATTAATCAACTGAACAAACAGGATGTAAATGGGTTTTTATTCACTTGCTTCAGGCTGTTTTTTGTTGCACAGTTTGAAACTGAGTGATCGGAGTGTTACTCATGGGGAAAGGTTTTTTTTTTAATGCTTGATATGTTTGCATGTATATTTGAATGTAAGGGCAAAAATTAAAACCTGAACAATAAACTCAGTGGAGCTTAATGTTTTACCAAAATGGAGGCTGTAAAGCTTCTAAAAAATATTTATTGAAAATTTACACAAACACAAAGAAGTTTCAAAAAAATGATATGATGCTAATCTTCTTCTTCTGATGGAGGCTGATCTGCTGCAGCAGCATTACGCTTCTCCATCTTTGCAATAAGCTCTGTAGGAAAAAGACAAATCATATTTGAGTTCATAAATGTATTAATAATCTGTCCTTCTTGCTTTTTCTGGCAGAACGTTCTTGCCTTTTGCAGGGTTGAAGACTCCGTTGGTTTGAGTGTTGCACACGTAGCACCGTTTGGACTTGCGGTAGTGCTGCAGGGCGCAGGTTTCACAAAAATAGTGCTTGCACCTGGAACACAGCTGACCGGTCAGGAAAACCCAAAAACACCGAATCACAGGAAAAGCTTGAAGAGACGACTCACTTTGTGATGATGGGATTCTTAAAAGAATCCCGGCAGATGAAGCACTTAAAAGGCAAATCCTCATCGTCGCTGCTCACCTCATAATTCTCATCATCTAGAGTGAAATAAACAAGTTAAAAAATGCTGAAAAGTGCAGGAATGATTTTGAAAATACATTTACTCACCATTTCCTCCATATGTGCCCTCATCCAGCTCCCTCTCAATCTGCCAGCCATGTTTGTAGTCCGATCTGTCGTGAAGGAACTTGCAGCTGTCTTTAAAAAAACATGCAAAATATTCAAACAAAACAAATGAATTTTTAAGATGACACGATAAAGTTTTACATAATTTATATTGCTAAACAAACCTCCAAAACCACAGAATCCAGTCTCTTTGTAGTCCTTGCAGATATCTGGCTGGTAGTCCCACCGGACTGTGGCTCTCAGGTGTTCAGGGGCGCGGATCGGCCCTTTCCTGTTGTAAAGATTACATTTAATTACAACTTCAATTTTCTGACATTCGGTTTATGATCAATTTAATTCCCTGTACTTAAATAACAAAAAAAAAAGTTATTTAAGTACAGTTAGTTTTCCAGCAGTTATTCTAGTCCATTTCTAAACCTTAAAAAGTACTGTATCCCAAAAGGAAATTAAATAATTCAAATAAACGCTTGCCTCCTCACCTGACCATGCCAGAAGAGGCGTTCCCCATGGTGGTGTCTTTAGGCTTGATGAATTTCTGGTAGTTGTTGATGCCGCGGTATATTTTATCATCTTCTTTACCTGTGAGCTCCTGTTTAATTTGAAATAATAATATTGATTATTAGTTCTCAGACATGTAACAAGTTTTTTTTTTGGGGGGGGTTACCTCTTGGATTTTCTGACTCCTCTCAAAAATTGCCTGGGCATCTTTGTCTCTTTCTGTGTCCAGCTCATATGTAGCAGTTGCACCCATGTCCTCAGGTCCCTCCGGTTTCTATATTTTAAATAGCAGATAGAAAGAGATTTTACACCTTCAAAACACTTTGATAATTTCTTTCACTAATAGTATCAAAGTTTTATCTCACCGCTGACCGTGTAGACTTATAGGAAACTGTGATCTTGTCGTCCTTGCCTTCATCGCTGTCACTGGAAGATAAAGCATCTCTCTCTACTTTTTTCGTCTGGAAAAACGAGATAAAAATCATAATTTGCTTCAAATCCTCACCAGAATCAGCATTGTTGCGTCACTCCCTTACCCTCTGAATCATGGGATTGACCCGACCATCTTTCTTCTCTCTTCTGACCACGGCGCTCTGGTCCTCATCACTGTTACTGTCTAAAAGAGAGACAAATATTTACTTAAAGCTGACAGGAGGCTGTACGGTCATTAAAAAGCTTCCGGTTTGCATGTGTCACCGAAGATAAGCTTAAATGGCCTGAATGTGACCAAAACATCAGAATTCCGAGCTACCTGGAATGCAGCACAAACATCTAGCTAAAACACAATTTACCAAAAACTTTTAGACATAGAGATTAGATATAAAGAATCATAAACATTGACGTGATTTCTATTTGCAGAAAGCACATAAATATACCCACCGCCTGTTTAGTTTAGATTTTTCAAACCGACCTTAAAAGCAACAAAATGCCCTAAATTCACAATTTAAAAACTAATTAAATGCTGTCGGATTTGAATTAATTACCTTTGTCACTGCCACTCGCTTTTCTTTTCCGTCCTGAGAATTTCTTAGTGGATTTTTTAAACAGAAACCTACAAGAAGGCGCTTTGGCCTCCTCAGACTCCGCCATCTTGCCTGCTCTGTTACAGTCCTGTGGTCACAGCGCCCTCTGCTGGTTTGGAGAGCACATGACTTGTTTGTCTCCTCTTCCTGGCCAAGAGGAAGAGTTTAGCCAAATCTTTTTATTAGAAAGATGAAAAAACGTTATTATTCAAAAATAAATAAAATATTAGACATTTCATATTATATCTCACAAAAAACTGTTTTAAAATTGCTGCTTGACTTTATAATTTAACGCGCATAGTCGGAAAGAAATCAACTTTATAGGTTTAGTTTTTGTGCTAACATAAATTATTATTGAGCACAGTAATTGGGCACAGTTTTAGCTTTTTCACTTAATAAAAAGTAACTATTTTATTTATATTTTTATTTACAAACCTGCAGGAAATTGCTGCTTCTACTGACATTCGGTATACATGTTGTACACCCTTATCGCTCCAAAGTACATCAAAATGGCCATTGTTTAGAGTTTTTCTGTAAAAGTTACATTTATGCTTGGTTTTTAAATCTGTGTTTATGTGTGACATGAACAAAGGAGGGTGAAGTACTTCAAAATTTACCTCAAGTAAAAGCACTAGTTTAACATATTTTTACTCAATTAAAAGTAAAACGAAAAAGTAGCTGTAAAAACATTACTCAAATAAGAGGAAAACTGTATTTGGTCAAAAGGAGACTCAAGCACTGAGTAACTGATGAAATTATCAGTTATTTAAAATCTAAAAATCATCAGACAGCCAAAATATAAAATTAAGTTGAAATTTTTTGGTATTTTAAAGACGACAATTGCATTATTTTATAAAAGTAAAAAGGAAAACACCTTTCAAATCAGTTCCTTTTCATATAAAAATTTCAAAACTGTTCGTGTCTTCTGAATTTTGGGTAAAAATATATTTTTTTTCATTTAGTAGAAATTTTATTAAAATAAAGTACTTCACAATAAAATTACTCAAGTAAAAAATAGTAAAAAAAAAAATTAAATGGCCTGCTCAGAGTACAGCTCAAGAGCTGTTTATTGTGAGATTTTTGCGACGACTTTAAAATACTTAATTTTCACGCAGACTCAACGCGTCCACCACGTTTGGTGAGTTTCTGAATCTGACAAAGCAAGTATCGCAATGCGGAAGTGCGTTTTATTTTGAAGGAAATAACCGGAAGACAGTTCCGTCACCCGCTCTAGCTTTCCGTTAGTTCTCCTCCGTAGAGCCGCAGCAGCAGAAGCATCCGCGGCTCCCCCCGCTGAGGACTCCAGGTACTTTAAGGACTTGGGCCCGGCGAAGGGAGAGGTCCCGGCCTCCTGGGTGCGGACCCCGAAGAAGGCCTCGGGTCGGGTCCGCCGCTGGATGGAGTCCGGCTGCGTCCAGACAGCAATGGCTCTGGGTCTGACATCGAAGAAGGCGTCTGCGCGGAGCATCGCGGTGGAGCGGAAGAACCTCATCACGGTCTGCAGGTAGACATCACGACCTGCTCCGGGTTTATTTATCGGCCTCCTGCTGTGTGACGGCCGCTTCATAACAACTAGACATAGTTTAAAAAACAGTAAATATTTATAACCTTCAGAACAGGAGGTGGTTTAAGAGGAGGCAAGTGCAGTTTCACCTTCAAAATGAGGAGAATGTAAAATACTGTGAACCCTTCATATGTCAAGACTTCACTTTTATGGATTTATATTTTATATTCGGTGTTTCTGACGTAGTCAAATCTATTTTTAGTTGTCCACCTGTCTAAAATGACCAGTGATGTCATTAAAAGCCCATCACTGACAGCTGAGCAGGACAAGGGCACGGGGAGCTCTGCAAGGACTCCTCCCCTCATCAGAGGGGCTGCAAGGCCCCTGGGGGCCACTGACCTCCACAGTGACCCCCAGACAGGCCTGGAAAAGGTTCATCCAGGACCACTCTGATTGCACAACTCACTAACAAAGGAGTAAGGTTTTCACAAAAAAAAAAAACAACTCAGAAATGTTTAGAGTTATATCAGATTAAAAAATAAAATTATAACAAAAACCAGGACATTTCTGAGCTCCAAAAGTTTAAATAATTCAGGAAAATTTTTGAAACTTTGAGATCAATCCCAGAAAATTTCTATTTAAAAAAACAAATTTATAATTACAATTTGAGATTAATCTTAGAAATTTTCTAGAGAAATTTGGAGATTTCTGAGTCTTAAGAGTAAAAAAAATTGCCAGGAAAAACAAAATCTGATTTATTTATTTTTTTGAGAGAAAAACTCAGATAATCTGATGACTCTTAAAATATTCAGACTCTTTCTTTGAAAAAATTTTCTTGCAAATTTCTGAAATCTTAGAAATTTTTATTTCTGTCTAGTAAATTTTTGACTTTTCGAATGAGAAATTTTCACATTGTTCTCCGGAAAATTTTTTAAAATCAAAATAATAATAATAAAAAACATTTCCAAAAAATTTCTGAAATCAAATTTAAAAAAAAAATTTCCAGCAAATTCCCAATTTAAGAAATTTTCCATGTTTTTTTTCTAGATTTTATTTTATTTTTTTAGATTGATCTTAAAATTTCTGATATTTTCTTTTTAGTAAATTTTTGGCGGTCGAAGTTCAGAAATTTCCTTGCTTTTTCTGCAAGTTTTCTGAGATTAATCTAAAAATTTGTTCGGTTTTTGATAAATTTACTGCTTCTTTCTGTTGGCTCTTGTAAGCCGTTGTGCAACTCCTTTAGCTACACGATGATTAATTTCATATGTTTAATTTGATTTTGGATTTTTTTGTGACAGACCTACAAGAAGTAGCACAGACTCTGCAAAAACAAAATCTTACCAATTATTTTTGGTTTAGCTTTTAGTGCAAACATTTTAGCACATTTGAAATAAGACAAAATGAACTTAGAAATAACTTTTCTGGAGAACATAGAAGCTGGTATTAATTTCTTACTATTGATTTATTGATTTACTCATTTAAAGTGTACTAAGATATTTGCACCTTTAAGTGTAATTACTTCACTACTAAATTATTTTTAGATGTGAAAGAAAAGCAGCACATTTTTAACTCCCATCTTCTACATCATAAAAGAAAAAAATACTCTCAGGTAGACACACATTCAAGCCATTTTTATTGTTTTTTAAGGTCATTTTTTGCATTAAAGTGAGATACATGGAGCCACAGCACACAACACAAAGCACAGCATGGCTGCAAAGAAAACAAAACTGTTTCACATCGGACTTTCAGCACGAACATTAGTGAAGAACCACAAACACGCTTGTTTTCGGTTTGCTCCGACTGTGCTCAGACGCTTTTAATCGTGTAAGCATTAAAGACAAACAAGACGAGACAGAAATAATACTCAAAATGCTTCCTGTCAGTATTGCTCACTCCAAATTCTGCATTTTCCTCATCTCTTTTGGCGATTAACTTCTTTTAAAGGAGATGTTTTCCTCCAAGTGGGTCTGTCCGATCTTCTCCTTCGTCACTTTTTCTTTTCGTTCCGCTCTGAGCTGATGTTAGACGTTACATGATGTGGAAGATGAATCTGCAGCCGACCTTTTGTTTTGGCCGGGCGTGACGTTCTTCTTATCAAGTATCCAGGCACAGATACCTGGCTGCAAAAACACTAAATATTACCAAGAATTTTGGTTTAGTTTCTAGCACAAATGTCTTGGTACACTTGAAATAAAACAAACTTTTTCAGCAAGAAAAATTCTTTTATGTATATAAAAGAATATTTCACTTATAAGAAGACATTTTAAAAGTGGAATAACTATTTACTTTTACAAAAGCTCCTATTTCTTGCTATAAGGTTTAGTAGTAAGATATTTTCACTAGAAACTAGACAACAAATACTTGGTAAGATTTTTTCTTTTTGCAGTGCATGAGCTAAATGATGTTAGTGCTTCTCATTAGTGCAGCGTGCCAAGCTTTTCTTACTTCCTCATATGTGTGTATAAATGTAAAAAGTCTATTTTAACGTACAGTCAGCAAAGACACAGATTAACCCTTTCCATTCTTAATATGTTTTGTTGGGAGTGGGAACAAAAGCATGGTTTCAGTTCTGCTTTGGGAAGAAAAAGTTCTTTTTTTTTAGGGTTTCTTGTCCCGCAGAACTGATCTCAGCTCAGTGTTTCGTAAAGCCGAGTCTGCTTTAATTAGAGACACATTTACAGAGGAGGACACCTGCATGTAGAGAACGGGGCGCTGGAGATTTGAGCAAACGTTTGCATCATGTCAGGGAACAGTTTCCGTACGAGGCGGGTGAAACAAACAAGATGGAAACTACGAATAATGGTGAGAATCTTTTTAAAATGGAGAGTTTTCAAAACTGGAGGGTAAACATGGTGTCCAGTTGCCAGTAGCAACAGGTTTCCTACTTTAACTCGGCTTCCTGCAGAGAGTGAAAATCTGAATTTCACCGAATGCTGTTCAAGCAGCAGGAATAAACGGAAAAAACGAAATGATTTGTTGCTCTGTGGTCTGGCTAAGACGTCCGTGTTGGTGGGAGGACTGCAGGACGAGTGCTGCTGTTGCTGTGGACACGGAGAACCTGGGAAGGAATAAATGAGATAAAGTGAGAAAGAAAGAAGGGAAGGAAGCTGAGGGGAACGACGCAGCTGCTGCTGCAAAAAAAAAAAAAGAAGAAAAAAATCCACATTTCTGCATCGTTTTGTGCATTTTTTAAAACGTTCCGACAAGTATTTAAATTTTTCTTTGCGACTTTTCTTTTGCATTCTTCTTGATTCGTTAGCGATTACAGCAGAGGTTCAGTAGGTTTGGGGATCAATCATGAACTGATCAGCTTGCTCTCACATTTGCATCCCTGATTTATTTTCATTTCCCAATCAAAACGCCGTCACTGCCCGTCTGACGCCCCGATCCGTCTGCACCTCCACCGACCATGAAACACTTTGCTTTGGCTCTTCTTCAGAGGGAAATCAAGAAAAACAGAACCTGCTTTGAGGGGTTTTTTGGGGGGGTATTTTTGGCTACAAGAGGGCAAAATTTGACTTTTTGTGCCGGTCCAGCAGTGCAGGAAAAGGGAGTTTCCTTTGCAATGAGTTCGCCTGCAGTGTCATCTGATCCTGCTGCTTAGGCCAGGACTGAAGGGAGAGAAAGAAAACAAGAGAGGAGAGAAGGAGAAAGACGTGAGGAAAAGAAAAACAGGTCAGCGGCGAAGCAGAGCAAAAGGTTACACTGCAAAAACACAAAACCTTACCGAGTACTTTTGTCTTGTTTCTACTGCAAATGTTTTAGTGCACTTAAAACAAAACAGGATTCAGGATCTTGGTTTAATATTCATGGAAAATTACGAGCTATAGGTGAAACTTTAACTGATTTTAAGGGGGGAATTGAGGTGAATTCTGTCTGGATTTGATTTAGGAGTGGATCACATCACACTTCACATTTTCTGAGCTTTTATTTGCAAAGCAAAATGTTTGGTTTTCCTTTTCCACTGTTTCCCTTTCAACATAAAGTTACATCAGCTTGATTTCAGTCAATAGGTCCTTAATATTCATGAAAAAGTTCAATGTCCACATGGAAAAATATCTGCCAGTAATTTTCCATCAATATTAAGAAGTTATTGACTAAAACAGGACTTTATATCTTGCTACAAAGTTACTTATAAGCAGAGAAGGTGTTGAGTAACTGATCAAATTATAATTTAATATTTAAAATATGTACATAATCAGATGAACTAAAATTTAAAGTTAAGAGTAAATTTTAGTTTTTAAGGATGAAAATGACTGTAATTCACATAAATGACAAAAAAATAACAATCAGGCAAAATAATTTTTTCCAAATTAGTTTGTTTCAATAGAAAACTGTAGAAAAATTAACAAAAACTGCAGGTGTGTGTCTGTGTTTGATAATTTTTTGGTTAAAATATGTTTGATTTCACTGAAGTAAGAGTAGAAATACTTCACTATAAAATTACTCAAAGTACGGCGTAGTAAAAGTGCAATTTTCAGAAAAGTTACTGTGAGTTAGTTTTGTCTTATTTCAAATGTTTGCACTGGAAACCAGAGCAAAGTACTTGGTGTTTTTACAAGATGAACTGATGCAGTTTTTGGCGTCTTTGTGGCTCAAACTAATTCCTGTAAGTACAGTGGAAAGGTGAGAAAGGGAGAACAAGAGCGGCTTTCAGTGGGTGCTGAGTGGGGCCTGGAAGAGGTCCAGGGCGGAGCGAGAGGCGGCACAAAGACGGCTGTCAGAAAGCAGCGCGGTTGTTTTTCAGTGTCAAATCGTACCAAGAGCATGTTGCTGCTCCTCTCAAACCCTTTGCATTTTTAAGGCGTCCTTCACGTCAAAGTGAGTTAGTGCAAAATCACAAAATTATCAGGTCCGGAAGCGCTGTTCTGCAGTTTTCTAATTAATAAAAATACACGTACAGAGAGAGTATATGAGGTTATAAACTTTGACAAGATAGGTTGTTTTGGTCTGATGCTCTGCAAAAACACAAAACCTTAAAAATATTTTTGTTTTGTTTCTAAATTATTTCACTTAACATGGAAAGATATTTTATTATCAAAAAACCTCTTGTGGTGGATCTAGCACTTTTTAAAGTCAATGTGAAGGAATTATTTACTTAATTAAATCAAACTTGTATATTTTGCACAGAAGTTACTTACAAGTTAGTTTTGCCTTATTTCAAGATATTTGTTCTATGAACTAAACCAAAAATATTTGGTGAGATTTAGTGTTTTTGCAGTGAAGAGGATTATTTTTTAGAAGTGTAAACGCTTTTTTTAGACGACTCACACATATGGATCGGTTTTGCAGAAATACTCATGTAAAAAGCAGAGGAGACTTTCCACTACACAGAGGTGTCCAAAGTGAGGCCCGCGGGCCATTTGTGGCCATTTTGCTGTGTTTTTTTTTTTTTTTTTTTTTTTTTTTTTTGGGAACTTTATTTTCAGTTATGAGCAACATAATTTAACTTTTTTACAAAAACAGTGATTTTCTTTTTCCGAAATCATCTGTTGGCAAAAAAAAGCTGACGAAAACCAAGGTTTTATAATAAGTAGAGCCAGGTTTATCCATTTTGATGCACCAGAATCAGGTTTTTATACATTTACTGAACTTGGCTAAATATTAGCAAACGTTTTGAAAGACAGTAACCCAATTTTTCCTCATGTAACGAGCAGAAAAGAACTAGATGCCAATAACCAGAGGCAGGTAGAGTAACCAGAAAACAGTACTGAAGTAAAAGTAGCACTACTTCAACATAGTTTACTCAAATAAAAGTAAAAGGTAGCCGTTCAAGAAATTACTCATTTAGGAATAAAAACAGATTTGGTAAAAAGTTTGAGCGTCTGATCAAATTATCAATCATTTAATATTTATAGATTACATCATCAGATGGACCAAAATATGAAGTTCCATGGAAATTTTGGTAGTTTAAGGACAAAAATGACAATAGTTTATATAAGTAACAAAAATAACAAAATCAGGCTAAATACATTTTTCCAGATTAGTTTGTTTGAATAAAAAACTTCATAAACTTTAACAGAAACTGCAGGTCTGTGTGTCTGGAGAATTTCTGGTTTAAACATGTTTGTTTTTCATTCAGTGGGTAAAAAAATCCAGAAACTCAAGATACTTAAGAATAAAGTTAGTCAAAGTACAGTGCAGTAAAGATGCTCCTAAAAGTACATTTTTCAACAAAGGGTGAATGTAACCCAACTCTGCCAATTACAGACATTTCTACCAAATGGAAAATGAAAGAAGTCGAACTCCTTACATGATTTAAACGCAACTGACCTGATTTCTTGATAGTTCCAGAACAAAGTCAAAAGCCCCAAACCAAATCTAATCCGGTTTTCATGGACAGCGTCGTCGTATCCAAATGTTCCCTGCCTTGGTGCTGTTTGTCTTCCCGTCTCCCCGCCCTCTGCTCCGCGTTCTCTAGATCGTCTTCGTCTTGCGTTTTGGGAAGAAGGCTTTCCGAAAAGACGTGGTGGTGGTTCCCCTGCTGAACGAGGCGCTGCCCAGTGAGATCTTGGTCTTCCCACTGGTGATGGTGGACGAACCCAGAGACGTCGTGCTCCTTCCCCGAGAGATGGAGGAGCTCCCCATGGCCAGCTTGGTCTTCCCCCTCTTGATGGTGGTGTTGCCCAGCGTCAAGGCCGTCTTCCCCTCCGTGAAACTGGTGTTCCCCATTGTCTTCCTGACCCGGACTCGACGTTGGGGTTCGGGACTCACTCCACGCCAAGCATGGCACAATCATGCAGCTCGAGTTGGAGTTGGTCGTAACATGACCAGAATGCTAAGCATGGACGGCGCGACCCCCATGTGGCATAAAGCCTCCGTTGAGCTGGTCGACGTGGGCTTTGGAAGGCCGCATACCACCCATGCGTCCCGTGAATGGACAGAGGCAGCCGTAGGAGGACGCAGCCTATCGGGGTGAGACTCGGACAGTGGGGCGATTGTCCCTCGGACACGACGACACCGGAGGGTTGAAGGAGACATTGTTGAAAAACAGGACAGTCCGCAGTGACATCACTTTCTTCTCCGCCATTGTTCCCCTACAGCGTCTGATTGTAAGACGTCCCTCTGTGCACAGCTGTAAGCGCCATATGTAAAATCAGCTGCTGTTTTTGTTGCAGGATGAAGACTGGATGTGTTTATCTTTCCCCTTAGATCTGGATCTGAGGCTTTAATGGCCTCGCTTGTTGTTATGGTCAACTAAAGCAATCAAAGTGGCCAAAACCGAGATTCAGAAATCATTTTAGTCAATTGAAATGAAGAAAAACTGTCATTAAAGGGGTAAATGGAAAAAAGGGAGCAAATCTCTATTTAAAAAACCTCAGAGGTTTTCTAGAAAAAAAACAAGGAAATGTTTCGGTTTGAAAAGTCGTGAAAAAAACCCGTTTTGAGATAAATTTCAGAAATTTTGTATAAAAAAAACAATAACATTTCCTAGTCTAAAAAGTTGAAAATTTGCTTGAAAAATCTCAAAAAGTTTGAGAATTTTCTAGGAAAAACAAGTAAATTTATAAATTTGAAGAGTTGAAGATTTGCTCAAACAAATCTCAAATTTCGAGATTGAACTCAGAATTTTAGTTGTAAAGCTGAAGATTTTCTAGAAAAATTTCAGAACATTTCTGAAAACAATTTGAAAAGTCAAGTTTCCTTGACTCCTAGCTTTTCCAACAGGAAGATTTGAAATAATAAAACAACGTCTTCAGCCATTATGGATAGGAAATAAAAATTCAAAAGCTTTCCTGGAAAAACTGACATTTTTTGGAAAAGACTTGGAAATTTCTGACCTTCAAATTCAGAAAATCACACAAAAAAATTTTTTTCAAAATTTCTAACTTATTTATTGTAGAAAATTGTCGACTTTTCAAAGTCCAAAATTGTTTAGATTTTTTTAATAGAAAATTTCAGAGGTTAATCTAAAAATTCCAGTTTTGGGGCGGAAATTTATGTGGCCCTAATACGCCGTTGAAATTGAGAAAACATTTTTGTTAACTGAAATAAATAAAAATGGTAATTAAACTACAATTAAACTACACTCACTTCAACTATATCATAAAACCAACTAAAACTGCTGAAATTAAGAATTAAAATACTTTTGTTTTTGAACCTATATCGTAGAAACTGATGTGAAATGTATTTATTTTCTCTCCACACAAGCCGTTTAGGTATCCAGCAATAATTGAATAAATGTTGGAAAATTGTGTTTTTTTAATTTGCCACCAAAACATGAACCAAAGTATAAAAAAGCTAAAACTGTTTCTATGACTGGTAAAAACTAAACTGAAACTAAGCAATATTTAACTATTGCCAACTCTTAAAACTAACTGAATTAGACAAACAGAAAATCACAACAAAATAAGCTATAATGAAAAACTATCCAGTTTTTTAATAACTACACACAAAACAATCAGGAACAAACAGGTGAAGCAGAGTGTAGAGGTATTATCTTTATATGCACTATGACATTAATACACTTTTACAGTTTTGTTGTGAATACAGCTTGCAGCCGAACCACGGGAATGCATCAAAGACCCACTGGACTCCTACTGGTCCCGGCTGCACAGAACGGGCGAATTGTTCTGGTGTCGCCACATGTACATCACATCTGTTCAAGCTTCCCCTCCCTGCTGAGCTCGACACACCATAAAGCCTCATCGCATCACTGTCGCATTTGCATAACATCCTCTGCACCCTTTTTTTTCTGAATTAAAGACGAGTTAAAATCCCAAACACAGCAGCTGGTTGTGACTACTGACCTTCTAACACTGACCACACACACACATCCACGAGCTTTTATTTGTGTGCTGGATTCACGTGTGAAAATCCCAGTAGATGTTGCTGTGCCTTTCCTTGCCCCTGATGAGGGTGGTCTTGACAACAGACACAGATTTGGTCCCGTAGGTAAAGGTCAGAGTCATGAGAGAGCTGGTGGTCTCCCCACGTGTCACCGAGGTTTTAGCCACCGTTATGCTGTTGCTGCCCAAAGTTACTACGGTTTTGCTCCAGGAAAACGAGGATTTCCCCCAGGAGATGAACAACCTTGTCCTCAGGAACGAAACCCTGCCTTTGGTGAAGGAGGTCTTGCTTGACGAGAATGTAGTTTTCCACTCGTTGTTAGAGTCTTTTTTGGACTGCTTGGCCGCTCTGGGTGTCTTCGCCCTGGCCTCGGGGTCCCTCTCCATCTAAGTGTTCCTGCGCTTGGCCGTCAGCGCCTTGCGGAAGGAGGTGGTGGTGGTTCCCCGGCTGAAGCTGGCCCGTCCCAGAGCCACGGTCGTCTTTTGCCTTTGGATGGTGGAATCTCCCATGGAGGTGGTGGTCACTCCCCTAAAGATGGAGGACTTGCCTAAGGACACAGTAGTCTTTCCCCTGGCTATGGAGGTATTCCCCACTGCCAGGGCAGTCTTGCCCTCTGTAATGCTCGTGTTGCCCATTGAAGCGGAGGCAGCCTGGATGCCAGCTATCGCGCACGCCGCATAGCAGACCCTCTGCGGCGCAGAAGGGCAAGCATGTCAAGTCAAAAAGCCACACCGAAGCCGCTGCAGCTGCCCTAAATAGATCACACCACCGTGTCTAGATGAGGGGGAGGGAATTATTTGATCATGCTTTGATGCTGGCCGGTCCCTCAGAGAGACAAGACCCAAAGGGACCTGGAAGCGCGGTAGAACCGAGCAGACAGGGGGATAATTGTGTTGGTTTCATGATAACAAAGCCAGAGCATTGAAGGGGGCGCTTTGTGCAAGCACACAGGACAATTGGGGTGACCTCAGTATGAGAAGATGGCGTGGTTCCCAAAAAAGAAAGAAAAGCCCTCCTCCCTGCTGCTGTTTAGATACAGTACTACATTTGTCTGCTTCAGTACAGTATAGTGCTCAGCTGCACGGGGCGTGCAGCACAGAACCCTTAAAATTGGGGTATATAACGTTTGTAAAACGTTTTTTACACGTTTCTCAAAACCTCTTCTACTAACTAGAAACAACTAGTAACCAGGAGGCGGGTCTTAGCGCTGCCAATCATGCCATTCCCTCCCACTTCCTTTATGCTAAGCTTCATGCAGACAGCTAACCTGCTAGAAATGCTAAGGCTAGTTAGCATAGCCACCGATGATGCCGGATTAACGGCTTTCCTGTAACAGTAAGTAATCTCTCCGCCATTAGCACATGTAGCAGCGAGTGCATAGGTTGAGTGACAAAGTTAAAACCCTCCTCCTGACTCTGGTTGGTTGTTTTTGACTGGGAGCAGTGGATTCTTCAGATGGTCGTACTGGGAGGATGATTATCTGTCTCATAACATTCATGGTGAGTTTTAACAAATACATAAAAAAACATTATTTATAAAAGTTCCATACTTCAGCTTTAACAAAGACAGATGGCTAAACTAGCAGTGTTATAGTAGCAGCTAGTTAACGGTAGCCTTGACCGCATCGAGTCAGACAAAGAGCCAAGAGGAAAAAAACAACAACATTAAACCCATTTAATATTGGTGCCGTAACAAAATTGTAGACCTGTGATTGTCACATTTATACGGAAGATTAGGGTCGCTGAAATAAAAATAAAAAAGAATTTTAAAAAAGTCTGAGATTAAAATCAGATTTTAATGTAAAACATTAAGGATCTCAATTTTAGACAAATTTAAGTAAAAAAAAATTCAGAATGCTGGGGAAAAAAAGTTAGAATTCTAAGATTAAAATAAGAATTCTTTGAAATTTGAAAGTTTTTTCAGAATTCTCAGGAAAGTCAGAATTCTGAAAAAAGTTCATTCTGGCAATTATTAGAATTCTGAAAATAACATTTGAATTCTCAAAAAAGTGATTAACATCAGAATTCCCCCCAAAATTTCAGAATTCTGTAATTTGAAAAACAACTTATAATTCTGAGATACAAATTAAAATTCTGAGGAAAAAAAATCTAAATTCTGAGGTTAAAGTCAGATTTTAATTTAAGACATTAAGGGCCTTAATTTTAGACAAATTCAAGAAAAATGTGTTGATGTTTTCCCTGTGAGTTTGCTAACTCGGTTCTGTTTGTCTCTTTGTTTTCCAGATTTTCTGTGAAAACTCTTCTAGAAAAGTACACAGCAGAGCCTATAGATGATTCATCTGAGGAGTTTATTAACTTTGCTGCTATTTTAGAGCACATCCTCAGCCACCGCTTCAAAGGTAACACAGCAGGTAACATATGAAGAAAAAAAAAAAACCCAGTGTTGTCATGTTGACATCGTGCAGTCTGAGCAGAAATAATCCCCTGCTGTGTTTCAAGGCTCAGGGAGTTGGTTCAGCTCCGATGGACAGCGCAGTTTCTGGGAGTACATCCGGCTGGCGTGCAGCAAGGTGCAGAACAACTGCATCGCCAGCATCGAGAACATCGAGAACATCAGCACGTCCCGAGCCAAGGCGAGGACTCTGTGTTCACGGGGGGAAAGGTTCCTGTCGGAGAGAGGCCCGTCTGTTCCCGCTGACTCCTTCTGTCGTCCCACAGGGCCGGGCGTGGATCAGAGTGGCTCTGATGGAGAAGCGTCTGTCTGAATATGTGTCCACGGCTCTGAGGGACACCAGAACAACCAGGTCCACTTAAATTTTCATTGCACAAACTGAAAAATGCACATTTCTGACTGATTTTACTCATCACTGCAAAAACACAAAATCTTACCAAAATATTTTTCTCTAGTTTCTTGTACACTTAAAGTAGAAAAACTAACTTACAAGCAAGTTTTCAGCAAGCTCGCTTTTAAGTAAATAATTATTCAATATTGATTTTAAAAAAAAGAGGTAGTTCCCCTGAAAAACAAGACATTTTCCCCATGTTATTAGTGAAATAATCTGCCAATGGAACAAGAACTTTTAGATCAATATTTATAATAATTCACGTAAAACAAGCTCATTTTGTAAGTTAGTTTTGTCTTATTTCAAATGGAATAATATATTTGCACTAGAAATTCTTGGTAAGAGTTTGTGTTTTTGCAGTGATAATTGGATAACATGGTAAAGCATAGATCTATGGGCTTTCCAAAACATTTTTTACACAAAATCATTCTTGGATAATAAGATGTCATTCTGTTCAGTTCAGTTCCATAATTAGCCTCTTGTGACTTTAAATCCACTGGTAACGACCCCAAACTCAGTGTTTATAACCATAGCTTGAAGATGACTGCACAGTTATAGAAATGATCATAGATCAACTATATGTCGATCTTTGAAAAGCAGAAGTGGAGCCTCCTGCACAACCAACAAGAATGAAGCAAGTGGTTTCTGGACACCAAAACAGCTATTACGCTGCGCATAGAGTGGTAAAATCACATGAAATATATATAAATTATTTATTTATTAGGTTTCTTAATCTGGGAATTGAGTCAGAAAAAGTTTCACTTCAGACAGAGGGAACAAAAATGTATATATTTCTTTTTATTCAGTGGATTTAAATATCTGATTTCAACCGTGATATGATCATGTCTGTATTGAAGTTGAAACCAAATTAATTCTCAGTGTTTTTTTGTCCAATCAACAGGAGGTTCTATGACGATGGAGCCATTATGCTGAGGGAGGAAGCCACCGTCCTGACTGGGATGCTGATTGGACTGAGCGCCATCGACTTCAGGTGAGGTTTCTCTAAAAGTCTGGTTTTTAGCAGAGGTGGGTGGAGTACTAAACCCCAAACACATAGTTTCACTCATGTACTGATTAACTGATTAAAACATCAAACATTTAATATTTAAAAATTGAATCTTCACACGGTGGAAATTTTGACATTTTAGAGACCAAAATTAAAATAATTTCTGTAAATAACAAAATCAGGCAAAATATTATTTTCCAAGTCAGTTTATTTCAACATAAAACTTATGAAACGTTAACCGAAGGTCTGTGTCTGGTGATTTTTGGTTACTCCAGTAAAAGCAGAAATACTTCATAATAGTTACTCAAGTAAATGTAACTTCCCAACTCTGGTTTTTATTTTTAACAATCTGGTTGTAAAAGAGCAACTTTGGTGTAGTTTTTGCTTGAAAGGAGAAGCTCTGGATGGGAAATGCCCAGCTGTGATCGACTACACGCCGTACTTGAAGTTCACTCAGAGGTCAGACTCAGCCAGCTGATTGATTCACTTCACCCAGGATGTGCTTTAAGTTTTTATCTGCTTTCCTGCCATGTAGCTACGACTACCTGAGCGATGAGGAGGACCGGCGCAGCGTGGACAGCAGCAACAGTGAGGAGAGCGTCCCTGAGCATCCCTACATCCCTCTGGTGACCGACGAGGAAAGCTGGAGCAACAAGTGCCGCAAGATGGAGCAAAGATTTAAGATCGTCTACGCCCAGAAGGTACGATTAATCTAATTAATCAATTATTGAAGCAACTGTCCACTAATTTAGTAATAGATTAGATTACCACTAATTTAGTAATAGATTAGAGATAGATTAATTTAGAAATTGTTTTAAACAAGGCAATTTGTTGAAAGAACAGCACTCGTTTAGTCAAAACTGGGCAAAAAATATGTACATTTTAAATTTAAAATACATGTAAAAATGTTCGAAACAGATCTACGGAAAGAGATTAGGGCCATGAATAAACAAAAAAAAAATAGATTTATTTTTTGCTCTGAATTCCCAAAATTTTTTCTCAAAATTTAAACTTTTTCTCAGAATTCCCAGTTCAATCTAAAAATTGAGACTTCAATCTCAGATTTGACTTTTTTCAGAAAAAATATTTTTTCTGAAAATTCAGACTTTTTCCTCAAAATTCTGACTTATTTCCCAATTTTTTTTTTTCTGAGAAAATTGACTTTTTCTCAAAACTCTCATTTTAATCTCGAAATTTAAAGTCGGAATTCTTTAGGTCTTTTTTTCAGTGGCACTAATCTTCTTCTATACAGAACTGCTCCACTGGGATAATTTTAGCTTCACCTGGGTGATATTCTTAAAAAAAAAAGAAAAGAAAAAGAAAACGTGTCCTATTTACCACTTTCTACTATTCAATTATTAATCACTTATTGGAAAAACAATCAACAGAGCTGAGCTTTTCTTATGTTGATGCTACAAATATTTTTTAGCTGTAGATGTATCTTTTGTTACAAATACACAAAAAAATGCTTTGCTATTCCATTTTAGGCAAGAAAATGTTTTTTCTTACTTAAAAAAGAAACTTATGTATTTTTAATATTGTATACCTGGTTAAATAAAAAACTTTGCCAGTTTATTTTATTCAGTTAATCATCAGAATAATTGATAACTGAAATAATAATTAGCTGCAGCCCTTCCTTTGCTAAGCTTCCTTCCCTCCAGTTTCCCCTCATGTGGTTGTGGCTCTGCGTTGCGTAGGGGTATCTGGAGGAGCTGGTGCGCCTGCGGGAGTCGCAGCTGAAGAACGTGGAGACGGACAACAAGCGTCTCCGAGCCAAGGTGGAGGAGCTGGCGCTGCAGGGCCAGCAGGAGAAGAAGGAGCTGGAGGCCATCGTGTTGGAGCTGCAGGCTCAACTGTGAGGAATCACAATCAGATAACAGAGTGTGACTTAAACTGCAAAAACACAAAATCTTACCAAGTAATTTTGGTCGAGTTTCTAGTGCACTTGAAATAACTTACAAGTAGCTTTCCAGCAAAACATAGGAGCTTGTTTTAACTTGGAAAAATAACATTTTCTCTTGTTATAAGTTAAATAATGTACTATTTTATCAATATTATAAACTTTTGACTTTTAACATGCTCCTATATCTTCTTCAAAAGTTACTAATAAGTTATTTCTGTCTTGTTTTAGGTGAGATAAGATATTTGCACTAGAAACATACATGGTAATATTTTGTGTTTTTGTAGTGTGCTGGTGGGTTGTCTTTTGTTTACTTTCTGTATTTCTTCTACAGTTGTTCACACAACAGTTCTTGATGCTCAGCTCCGATTTGTTTATTTCATACTATTAACTTAACCTGACTGCAGTCAGACCTCTCTGTGAGCTTTTCATGTTCCCCAAAGCGGTTCGCAGACGAAGCACACAAACGTTCTTCTTCTCCATGGATGGATTTTTTAATTTGTCCAGCAACGAAATCGTCACAAGATCATAACAAGATGAAGGGAGCTGAAACACTTTAGCCTATCAACCTCAACTGTTAGCTAAGAAATGTCGGTGGAATCAACTGACTCACTCGCTCTTTGGTTACGTAGCAACAACCTGCTGAGTAACTGGCGCAGCAGCAGTTTAAGGTTCTGCCTCAAAAAATAAAAAGGAACAAGGAGTGAAAACTGTGAATTAAACAGGAAAGATCCTTCCCACAGTTTGGCAGAAGTTCAGATAATTAAAACAGAAAATTAATCAATAATTATCAATATCGACTGTTATGAAAAGCTAATATCGAGGTATGTGTTTTAGGCCGAGCTAAAATTTCCATAGAGAAGTCCGTTTGGATGTTTAGTCAGAACCAGGACCGCTTTCATAATCTCATAACTATTATTTTCAGCCGTTATTTAAGTATGGATTAACTAAAGTTGGATAAAAATGCGACATGACAATCGAACATGTAGCTGATTTAGCACCACATACAAAACTGGAACAGATCTGATTTGTTTTTGGAGGTGAAAATATCAGAATTGGGTCGTTCAGACTGAAAAAGTTGCATTTGAGCCAAAAAAGAAAAAAGAGGATTTGGGTTACATTATCCTGCTGATTTTTTTTTTTTAGATTTTTGTCACTTTTGGCATCCCGTCCTTAGATCTATCATGCTGGATTCTTCACTTTATTATCCATTAAAAACTAATTCATAATTTAAAAACTGTGGTTTGATTTTGTGAACCATTTTACTTACAATTTCATTCATTTATATAATTGTGTTCAGACTTTGGAACAGATCCCCTAACCTTCTCTCACTGATTTCTGATAAACGTAACATAAATACAGCTCATAAATACTCTGTATAACCAGGTTCTTATGGAATAAAAATATTATTTTCTCCCAGTGAAACCTTGTTCTCCCTCCAGCGCTGCCCTCATGCCTTGTGACTCCTCCCATCTGGCTAAAGATCTCGCCATCCCACTCGTCAACCAGTGGTCCACCATCACAAACAACCAAGGTGATGTCAAGCTGTTCCGCAGGTAAAACCTCTTTGCACTGCAAAATACCGTTTCTGGATGAATTCATTCAAATTATTTATGACATCACAGCAAAAACACAAATTCTTTAGTGTTTAGTTTCTAGTTAAATACCTTAGTACACTTGAAATAAGACAAAACTAACTCAAGTTACTATTCGGCAAGATATTGTTTCAACAATTTTCTAAGAAATTATTGACTCTAAAAAGCTCCTATATATTGCTGAAAAATTACATGTGAGTTAGTTTTGTCTTATTTCAGATATTTTACTAGAAACTAAAGTACTTGGTAAGATTTTGTGTTTTTGCAGCGTTATTATAGCTTATTTTTTTGTGTGTTTTTTGTCAAGGAGGAGTTTCCATAGCCTGGATCAACTTTCTCCTCAGGTCAGTCTGAACTCCGACTCCCAGAAGACGGATGGGAGGCAGAACGGAGATGCTGCCTGGACCTCAGCGGGTAAAACTGCTGATGCTGAACATTTACAAAGCGTTAAGTTTTACAGTCAGTGGTGCAGAGCTCAAACTCAAGATAAAGGAGCTTCTTTAAGTTAGTAATTCATCAGTAATCCGTGATGAACCAACTTCCTGATGATACAAATTAATTTGAAGAATAAAGAAACCAATTTTGACAAACTCCACGTCTGTATTAATGGTAAAATAAAACCCTGCAGCATTTGCACGCCTTGGACCGCTGCATAAAAGCCTCATAGTAGCAGCCACCCATGCTTACATTTGCACAAAGGCCGGCTTCATCCCACTGTACGCTGGTTTGCGTAGGCAGCAGAAACTATTCACAAACTTGGGATTTTCTGGTGTTTTCTGCAGGAAAAGACAACACTCCCTCCATGCTGGGGCTGTGCGGCTCGCTGGCCTCCTTACCGAGCTCCAAGTCTTTGGCGAGCCTGAAGTCCAGCGAGTGTTTGGTGAACATCAGCACTGAGCCCAGCCCTGCGCTCTCTCCCAGCTAGGAGCCGCGGAGCAACACCTTAACCGCCCCCTAAGCGATGCTGCGTCCAACAAAACCTGCTACATTCCCATGTTTTTTCCCTCATATTCTGTTATTTCACACCAACCCACACATCCAAAAATCATGCAAAACATCTGTTTACCTCTTCTCTTTTTTTAAATATTAGTATTATTGCCGCGGCTTTGTCTGTGTTTGCCTGTTTTGTTGCATTATCATGTGAAAAGTGTAACCAAAACAGCACAAGAAGGTGATTTTAAGGGTAATATTAAGACATGTGGATGTCAGGATACACTCAGCAGTATTTTCTAAATAGCATGACTGAATGAAACCGGCTGAAAATCCGCTGACTGCATTAAATCCTGGTTTTAATTCTTTAACACCACAAACATCTCCAGTGTTCATTGGTTTTATACAGATATAAGCTGCTGCAAACGTTTTGACCAGCTAGTTTCCAGTCCAGCAGGATTTTCTTCCCATTTGTTTACAGTTTGAATTTTCTCTGTTGCAATAAACTGCCTTTTTCCATTATTTGTGTCTGAGCAAAAACATCTGCGTCTGAACATCACTCTGGTTCCATCTAGTGGTTGTTTGAAACTTATTTCAACCCCACTGCAAAAAACACAAAATCTCACTAAATGTGTTTAGTTTCTAGTCCGAATATCTTTCAGGGGACATTCGGTCAGGGGAGGCAGAGACTTTAACGGTTTTTTCCCCTTTGCTGTGGAGCACAGCATGAAATTAAACGTATCTGAATGTCCAAGTTTGAGTTATCTGAGTTATTGTATGGTGGCAGCGCGGCTGGAATGTAAAAGAATCGTCTTTTTGCCCTCCAGCGTTGTCTGCATGTGTGAAATTTCCTTATGTAAACAACAACATGCAGGGTCTATATTTGTAAATATTATTATGATTAAATCAGTGCCTCACCAGCCATGAACCTTGTCGCACGTCTCTGATATATCTGAACACTTGAGTAGCTTCCAAGTCATTTTTCATCAACATATAGGAATAATAATTCCTATATGTTGATTGTAAAAATGTTTCCTCCACTGGGAGATTATTTCTCAGTTTTATAAGTGAAATAATCAGCATATGCATAACCACATCAAAAGATAAGTTCACTGATTAAAGTCAATATAAACCCAAATTTTTGGGTTTATATTGAGTTTATATATTTGAGTTTAATTGAATTTGACCAAAGTCAGGTTATATTTTCTAATTATTTTCCCCAATTAAATACTGTTACAAGATTTGTTGTTGTTTAAAAGTATTATGGTATGTAAAATATAAGTAAGGACAATGTGAAGGCGTCTAAGCTCTGGGTTTAACTGGAGGGGGGATGGATGGCCCCATGCCCTGCAAAGCAGAACAGAAATCTTAACGAAGTGGGTGGGATGTTTTTGTTTTTTTTTCCTCTTCTCTTTGGGGGCTGGAGGAGTTTTGCTCTCCTTCAAGCAGACAGATGGATGTGACGCCCAATAGGCGTTCAGAAATATTCTGCAGCGACCAACCAGACCCGCTTGAATTAGAAAAAAAGTGCCACACGAGTTACTCGCACAGGTTGTCACTCTGCAGAAGGAACCACGGAATGTGAGGCGATCGCTTCTCATCAGATAATTCACCCGGGATTAGGCTGCGGATTAGATTCCGTTCAAACTCCTGCAGTTTGTGCGTCCGGCGACTCGGAGGGACTGATTGGAAAACGGAGCCGCGACGGGAACTCTGAAGTCAGTGAAAGTGTGTGTTTTCATACGTGGAGTGGGTGCGTGCGTGCGTGCGGGGCGGGAGGGGAGGAGGACAGGGTGGGCATGTCGGGTCGGAGCGGCGCAGCGCCGCGGGGATGCAGCAACCCCATCCTGCAGCCCCTCCGAGCCACCGTCCCGTTCCAGCTGCAGAGAGGAGCCCAGTGCATGGAGCCCAGAGCGGGTAAATCCACCTCCACGCACCGCGGAGACACTGCAGCCACTTTTTAGTTGCTTTATAAATGTTACATTTTTTATTTTTGCTTCTAAATTGCAAAACGGAACCTTCACATTTTGCGTTACTTTTCCTGCAACTAAAGCAATAAATGGCAACAAGCGGAGTTAAACAAAATACAAAAATCGATGTAATCGAAGAAACGCCGATCATTTGTGACGTCATCAAGCACGTAAAACGAAAGCTTCCCGTCACACACACAGGTGAATTATTGTATCTTCTAACAAGAAAAATATGAAAATGTATATAGGAGAAAACTAATTTTCCATGACAAAATAGGTTGATATGTATCAGGGTTTACAAATTTGTTAATCAAATAATTGATTAATCATCAGCGTCAACAATCAAATAATCAGTCACTGAAATAATTGTTAGTTGTAAGCTTCATCTAGACTGCAAAAACACAACATCTCACCACAGAATATTGGTATAGTTTAGTACAAATTACTTGAAATAAAACAAAAGTAACATATGAGTAACTTTACAGGAAGATGTAGCAGCTTGTTTTAATAAATAATTCCTTAATATTGATGACAAAATACCAGCTCCATTGGCAAATTAAGACATTTTTTAATCAATATTAACAAATTGTTGACTAAAAACAAGCTCCTATATTTAGCTGAAGACTTTATTCCAAGTTAGTTTTGCCTTATTTAGTGTACAAAGATATTTGCATTTAAAAAAATGGGCCAAAATTACTCGGTAAAAGTTTCTATTTTTGCAGTGCTTGATTGACAGAAAGGCTTGTAGCTCTAAAAATGCCCCATTCCTGTCATAATCCGAACAATTAGACTTTCAACTCTGAGAAAGTTATGTCAACAAAGGAGGTTAGTAACCCTGAAACATAACTTTCCTCTCATGATGTGATTCAGACACTCGAATGGCCCTTTGCACTGTGACCTGCTGGAGTTTTCAACGCTAACGCAGCAGCAGCAGCAGCAGCAGCAGCAGCAGCAGCAGCAGCAGCAGCAGTTTTAAAGGCCTCTTTGTTTCCCTCAGACTTACTTTAACTAGGTCTATGACACTCACATCTGCATGTTATTTATATTTTGTATAAGACAGCATAATGTGGATTTGCTTACAGGTTGGTGGGAAATAAACGATGAGAGTCAGAAAACTACCAGAATAAAGTCGTAGCAAACAGATCAGTATCAGGTTATTATCGGTAGCAGGACTGTAACTGATAATAATCTGATATTAGCAGATTAAGTATTTCCTTATTTGTGAAACTGATATTATTATATATGATCACTTTTTCAACACCAAAGAACAGGCAAACATTTCCCACACAGAACAGAACATTAGAGTTTTATGTTTTCATGCTTGATGTTTATTTATTTCGCGATAAGTAATCATCTGAACACAGTAGTGGAACATTCAACCTAATTTCTCTTGATGATTTGTCAGAGAATTGGTCTGTCGGTTGCCTTTTTTTCAATTGAACCAAATTCTGCAGCAAACCTACGTGTTAAGATTGTCAAAGTCAAGCTAGCGTACCTGACCTACTTTCCTCTCCCTCGCAAATTTTTAACAATTAAAACCTTTTCCTGACCTTGTCATCTAGTTGTTGCAGAGCTGATAATTAGTCCCTTTTTCTTTTATATATCACTCATGCAGTAAAGATTTAGTGCATTATGTCGACAATTTGACTGTGAAACCAGTGGTAGCAACTTTTGGGGGTTTTGGATTTCTGTTTTAGCGCTGTATGTGCTGTACAATGGCTGCTGGAACAGATAAGTATTTTGTTGTTGACTTACCACTTACTAGGGTCTTGTTGGTTGTGCAGGAGGCACCACTTTTGCTTTTCAAAGTGGTACGGTTGTATAATTGCTTTTCTGTTTGTAGTTATTTTTATGGGCGAGTGTGAATATCGAGTTTGGGGGCCTGGCCAGCAGCAGATAATTTGGACTTAAAGTGACTAGACATCCTAAAACAGCTAACTTTCAAAATAGATAGAACTGAACAAACTAAGATCTTATTAAAGAATGATTTACAAAAAATGTAATGAATATGTTTTGCATAGACCATAAACTTATCCTAACTTGTTAAAAGAAGCCTTTAAAATACAGTTAAATATGGACGCTTCTAACAAATAACGAGAACAAGTCCTTTTATTTTGTTGTTTCAAAGTAAAACAGACTGAAAATGAAAATCTTCTTTTCACAGTGATGCACCATTTTGTATTCATCTGTCACCAACTTATGCTTCATTATGCATTTATTGTTTATGTTGTTTTCTGTTTCTAAAGTTGATAAAACTGCCGCTCGTCCGCCGAGGCCCACGATCCGCCGGACTCTTTCTCTGGATACGATTGTTGGACCGTATCTGCAGGGCCAGTGGCCCAGAGAGGCAGACGCCGCCGCCAACGACAAAGCCACTCAGGTAGACGCCATTTTATCCTGAAACCCTCCAATTAGCAACTAAGTTTTAGCTTAAGTGCTCAGGGATTAGGGCAAATTAAAATTTGGGGTATTTTAAGATTTAATCGTTGGAAAAACTGGCATTTTTTTACTAATGTTTGGGTTTCCATAGTTCAGAGTGTTGGCGGCCATCTTGTTTTACGGTTTCTTCAGGTCAACTCCTCAATGCAAGATTAGGACCAAGCTGTGATTTATTTTTATTGGATTAAAGTAATAATATTGAAGAAATAAATCTGTAATGTTACCAGAATGAAGTAAGTTTATGAGAACTCCTTGTGACCAATTTGTCAAATTATTATCAGCAGCTGGATTTTAAAATGATTGTGCAAACAACAGAGTCTATTTCAAAGAAAGAATCACATGGACTTGATAACTAACAGCTTTTTTCTCATTAAATCAAGTTTTTTCTCAGAATTTTTATACGTTTTTTGGTTAAATTGTGTCTTTTTTTCTTTAATATTATGACTATTTTATTGTAATTAAATTAAATTTCTCATTGCCTAAAACATTGTGGTCAGAAAAGATGGTTGAAATAAAAGCCACTTTTTGAAATATTTTCTGTAATTGTGTTTTTAGAAAAGAAAGACAGTAATATGACCATACTAAGAAAAAAATAAGTTAAAAAATAAAATTATGAGACTAAAGTTATAAAAATACAAGAATAATGTCATAATATTACTAGAATAAAGTCAGAATATTATAAGAATAAAGTTGTAAAATAAAGTTATGAAAGTAAAGTAAAAATATTACTAGAATATTGCAAAAATAAAATTTCAACATATTGTATTCTCATAACATTCTGACTTTATTCTCATAATTGTTTTTTTTTTATTTCTTATAGTGGCTCTAATACTCTGTCGTAGATGAGAAAGCAACCAAAAACAAGGTAAATAAATCAATTAGAGTCTGATTTGGCATGAAAAAGGTCTTTTTTTTTGTCCGTATTGCTGGTTTCCTGCCCAGGGCTGAACATGTTAGATCAGATGAAACCTGCTGCAGACAGGTCAAACCCCCGAACGCCTCGGCTCCGGGCCGAGGCGTAAAACCCAGAGATCTGCAGGTGTCTGGGCTTCCAGTTTGATGCAGCGCCTGGAAACCAGCCAACTGGAAATAGTCGTTTTTGTTCTTCCTCAAACTGCTGCTTCCCCTCCGCCGCCCCTCCACTGTATCTGGTGCACAAAGACTTAGCATCATCTTCATCCTGGCTGCTGACACAGTTTAAGGCCCGCATGAACCCGCTTCGCCTGCATTGTGAGGGAACGACCCCTCCTGACCTCGGCCCATCCCCCCGCCTCGCCACCAACCGTCCCGAAGCTCCGCTGCTTCACGTCGGACGGCTTAACCAGAAATACCACTAAATCGCTCTGATATGTGTTGAAACATTAGAAAAGAGTCGGAATTTCTGAATATTTCTGCAAATATTTGGCTAATTATGAGTGAAACTGTAAAACTACAAAATAAACAATTTTAGAGACTTTATTTATGAATGATGAAAGCCTGCAGCCTATTCAGGTCATTGTAACCTTAGACGGACTATGCAAAACTCTTTACATGTGTTTCCCATTCGTTCATTCACACACGCGCACACGCACACACACACACACACGCACGCATGCACACACACACACACACACACACACGCACGCACGCACCAAAGGCAGAGTAAACGAGTTCAGATTTCCACATGTGGAGGGAATTTCAACCAAAACGTTTGTCAATGTTAATGTTAATAATGTTTGCTAAATATTGCATCTTGCTGCTTTGATTTTATAAAATAGTCAATTTCACCCATTTGTTTTTGCAAATATCAAGATTTTTAACTGGTGTAATTTTATTCTGATTGTGTAAATATTTTTGTAGACTTAAAATAAGACAAAACTACATTAGAAGTAACTTTTCAGCAAGAAACAGAACCTTGTTTCCAGTAAATAATTTGTCAGTAGTGATGGAAATGTTCTCGTTTCATAGGCAGATTATTTTACTTATATCATGGTAAAAATGAATCGTTATAAATTAAATAATCTACCAATAGTACTAGAACGTTTTCATTAAAATTAAATAATTGTCTACTTAAAACAAACTCATATATCTTGCTGAAAAGTTATTTCTGAGTTAGTTTTGTTTTATTTCAAGTTTGATCTTAATTTTGGTCTTAATTGTAGATAAATATAGTTCTGGTTAGATCTATATTAGTTTTGGAATGAGAAAAAGAAAAAATACTTGGTAAGATCTGTGTTTTTGCAACTCATATTGTTTTCTTGTCACCTTCGCCGCAAAAACACAAAAACATTTTTTCGTCTAATTTAGTTCAAATATCTGATTAAACTTGAAATAAGACAAAACTAACTAACAAGTAACTCTGCAGAAAGAGATAGGAGCTTGTTTTAAGCCAATTCAAAAGTTTAGCAGTTTTTATCAAATAAGTTAGTTTTGTCTTATTTCTGGTGTCCTATAATATATCTGCACTAAATTAAACCAAAAATACTTGGTAACATTTAGTTTTTTTGCAGTGTTCTATCAAACCTGAAGATGGAAAACTGGTTATTTGTTGCCTATTTTAAGTCCTTGTCGTCATAAACTCCTCTTTATTTAGATTTAAGTCATTTGAGAAGCTAATAACATAATTCTGATCACAGATCTGCAGATGCAAGTCGCTGCTCTGCTCCGTTTAGATGGAAACTTTAGCCATGCAGGCCACATTCTCATCTACGTTTCAGGTCTTTTTATAGGTTGGTGTCCCATGATGCCCTGCTCATGTTATGGGAAGGGCGGGATGTCAGATCTGGATGATTACATGGAGGACGGGGGGCTGTAACTTTATTCCAGTGTCACTGAATGACTCACCAATGCTGTATTCTGACCTATTTAGCCTGCAGGACATGATATGCATTTTTATCCTGCAGGAGAAAATTTTTCTGTAGCGTTTTGAAGCTGGCACTTTGAGATGAGGTTGTATTTCTGAGGGAAAGGAAGTTAGCGGATGAATGTAATGGAGCCCACAGAGCGGGGCGGGTTGTTTGGGAAGCCGATCGATGAGAAACCAAAGCTTTAGCGTTGCCGGTCCAACCCAGAGTCCGGTCGGGATGAACGTCCAGAACCAGCAGCTCACAGGGATCGACCAGGCTGCAGCTGGCAGACGATCTAAAGTCAATGTGAAGAAATCGGTATGGAGGGTAAAAAGAAGAAGTGAAACTTTAATGTTTGCTTGTTTGTGGGGAAAATAAGTTTGAGTCCAACGAGGCGCCGAGTTTGTGTTTGATCATGAGGTTTGGATGGGGGACGTTTCTCATCTTTGGTCAACTTTCTACTCAAAATACCTCAGTGCACTTGTGTTAAGCAAATAACTATATAATATTGATTTAAAAGCTGATTAGTTCTAGCAGAATTTTTCCATATTATGAGTGAAATAATCTGCCAGTGGAACGTCTTCTACTTCAAAAATGTTTGTAGCAGAAACTAGACCAAAAAGACTTTGTTAGATTTTGTGTTTTTGCAGCAAACAGTGGTTTCTTGTGCAAATATGTTAGGACACTTGAAATAAGATGAAACTGTAGAGGCTTGTTTTAAGTCAATAATTCCTCAATATTGTCAGATTATTTCACTTATAGAATGATGTAGTTATAAGTTATTCATCTTATGTAACTATTGACTTTAATTAATGTCACATTTCTTGCTGAAAAGTCAGTAGTAAGTTAGTTTTGTCTTATTTCGAGTGTACTAAGATGTTTGCACTAGAAACTCAACAGAAATGCTTGATTTTGTGTTTTTGCAGCTCACAGCGGCTTTTTGTCAATTTCACTGGAAAAACACAACATATTACCAAGCAATTTTTCTTTTAGTTTCCAGTGAAAATGTCTCAGTTAACTCTTGAATTGAGACAAAACTACATTAAAAGTAACTTTTCAAGAAGATTAAAACTCTTGTTTTAAGTAAATCATTAAAATTGTTTTTAAAAAGTAGTAGTTCCATTGGTAAATTATTTCACAATATAATAAAAACTTGCCAGTGGAACATAATATTTTTCTTCAATATTAAGAAATTCTTGACTTAATAAAAGCTCCTCCTGCAGCTTCCTAAAAAAGTAACTTATAAGTTGGTTTCGTCGAAAAGACTCGACGGGGTTTTGTGTTTTTGCAGTGCGCGTTGGGGGAAGCGGGGCTGTTGGTGCAGCTCACAGTGGTTTCTTGTCACCTTCCTGTGCACAGCTGTTATGGGACAGGTGTGTGAGGCAGCTGTGGGCCTCGGCGTCTCTCAGAGCCGCAGAGCTGGCGGCCGTTTGCTGGCTCAGCAGAAAACGTAGAGTTCCTCTCACAGGTCAAACCTGCTGACCCCTGCTTTGAACCGCGTTTTCCCGCCTCAAGAGTGTGAGAGGCGACACACTGGACTCCTTGTTCATCTGACTGTGTGTGTTTTTAAAGACTCCATGTTCCTGGACAGAGGAGACCCGGGGAAGGAGGAGTGTGGGTGGGCACAAGCGCTCAGCGTCTTGGGGAAGTGCAGAGCACTTGAAGGAGGCAAGTACTTAACTAATAAAGTTTAAAACAGCGCTTTTTCACGCCTTTAGCTTGAAATATTAACAGGACCCGAGGGGAAAGTTCGTAACCCTTCCCATTCAGAGTCAGTCGAACTGGATCCTAAATCAGTTTTATCTCCTTTCTGCCCTCAGGTGGCAAAACTGAGGCACCATCTGCAAAAGCGCTCCAGGAACGCTCCTCCCTCTGCAGGATATGAGCTACAGGCAGCAGGACAGGCGGCAGGCGTCACTCAGGTACTTTGTTATTGCGAAATGTGTGTTTGTTTGTGTTTATGCACAAATTTATTCATAATGAGCTGTTTTAGAGCCTCCCGTCGCTTTAAATCCAAATAACTTGCAGCTGGCCACGCCTCCAACTCGACATTTATCATTTCTAGTTATTTGCATGTGAAAATGACTACAAGCAGACGCGCGATTGTAGAACAATGCATCTTTGAAAAGCAGAAGTGGAGCCTCCTGCACAACCAACAAGAATGCAGTAAATGGTTTCTGGATATTAAGTCAACAACAAACAAAATACTGCAGTAAAACCAGCTGACCAAACATGCTGGAGCTCCACTTTGGTTTGCTAGGTAACGGACTGGGCTTCTGAATTGTGATGTTACGTTCCAGAAGTTTTTCAAACTGGTGATTTTCCACACACAAAAAGCATGAACTTATTGCCAAAAAAACATTGACTTTCCACAAAAACCTATTTAAAAAAATAATGTATCAATGTTTCATTGTGTTGTTAGAGATCCAGGTGTCATTATCTATCAGAAACAAACTTCTTGGCCGAATGAAAATTATCTTAGATCTTAATCTACTTGATTTCAAATAATTTTGGTCTTAATTGTAAATAATTATAGTTCTGGTTAGATCTATATTAGTTTAGGAATTTAATTGCCCCAATTTTTAATGTAAAATTTACATTTTTCCCATTTTCATACTTCTGTTTGGATCTCAACTGCTTCTATAAACAATCCAAATGCTTAAAATTAAAAAAAACAGCTGATTTGTGGCAATAAGTTAATGTTATTTTGGTGTCTGGAAATTAACCATTTCAAAATCCTTTTGATTGTTAAGTCACTTCCTGTAACCTAGCAACCCCAGCAGAGTTCCACCTGTTACCTAGCAACACAAATGGGATGCCAGCATGTTTGGTGAGCCGGTTTTACCGCTGTACTCGCTGTGCAATGGCTGCTGGGAACCACAAGTGTTCTCAGTGTGAGGAAACGTTGAGCTGGGAGGCCTGGCAGTTTATTTAGATTTAAAGTAGGAAGACGCCCTAAAGCAGGCCAAAAACGCTACATGACGGGTCACATTTAACCGTTTTTCTGCAGACAGTTCCCATGATGCCTCTGAACAGGCTCGCGCCGCGGCTGAGGCGGAGCGTCGAGGGTCTCAGCTTGGAGCTGGAGGAAGTGTTTGTGTCTGAGGAACCAGACGATGAGGTCGGCCCACCGAGTTCTGCCTTTGAGTTTTACATTTCCTAAAATGCTGCCAAGCTGATGGCGCGAATGTTGTTTTTTACATTCAAGCAGTTATCCGAAGAGGGAGTGAATGAGTTGATTCCACCAACATTTCTTAGCTAGCAGTGAGAACTGAGCGGCTAAAGTCTTTCCTCTGCCTGCATCTCCCAGAATGCTGTGCGGTATATTGAATATTCTGACAGACATATTTTCTTTTGATATTGATCAGGTGTCTATTCTACTGATTTATTGTCCAGGCCTCGTCTCAAAGCAACAATATTATTGTTCATCGGAGTAACTTATTCGTCAGTTCATTGTCACAGTGACAGCTTTACTCTTGTGCATTTTATTTATAATAATGTGTTTAAGTTAATTCAGCTGAATGTTCCAGATCTTGGATATCCCAGACGGCCACAGAGCTCCTGTCCCGGCTCAGAGATGCAGCAGCGGCTCTCAGAGCGAACCGTCCCCATCCCCCCCGTCTCCCTCCCTGTCTCCATGTCCGCTCGACTCGTCCCTCCCGTCCGGTTCCCCGTGCCACCTGAACGCATCACGATCGTCCCCCTCCCCGCCGCCGTGCCCCACGTTGGACCGAGGTTGGATTCTGGACTGTTTTCAGAGCGTAACGCTGAATTATCAGTTTTCGGTTCCTGTGTTTAGTGATGTGTGTGTGTCTGCAGAGCCTGCGGAGGGTGAAGGATTGTGCTCCTCTTCATCAGCGCCGCTTCCTTCGTTCGCACTGGAAGCTCCTCTTCAGCAGCCCTGCTCCTCTTCGCCCCGTCCAAACAAGACCTGCTCCTTCCAGCGCGTCCCGCCAGAAGGCTGCGAGCGAGTTCGAGTTTGTGAGGAAGCAATGTAAGTTTTAGTCGGTCGAGTGACTAATATATAAATATTGAAGGTCCACAAAGGCGCTTTGTAATCAGAGTTGAGTTGTAACTAGTTACTTTTACTCGATTCAACTTAAAAAAATGTCGTTTTTGGACTATTTTTTCTACGCTTTACTTTTTACTTTTATTTGAGTAAATTTATTTTTAAGTATTTCTACTCTTACTTGATTAAAATTTCTTAATTTTTCAACCCACCGAATGATAAACAAACATGTTTTAGCCAAATATTCATCAAAGACACACACCTGGAGATTTTATCAAAAGATTTTTATGAAAAAAAAAATGTTTTGGGAAAAGTTCCTTTTGTCTGATTTGATGTTTTTGTTACTTATGAATTATTGTGATTTTTATCCTTTAAATACCAAAATTACTACTTAACTTTACATTCTCATCTCTGTATAATTTGTGGAAAAATCCATCTCCTCCACCTGAAAAGATGCACCGCTCCCAACCAAAAACAACCAGTTACAGCTCGGAGGAGGGTCTTAGTGCTGTCAACCATCCTCATGTACTTGCTGCTAAATGTGCAAATAGCAGAGAAACAACTTAACGTTTATGCGCCATCTTTGGTGGCCATGTTAGCTAGATTTATCATTCACAACATGCTACGCTAGCAGAAGCATACCAGAGAGCAAGGAAGGTGATTGACAGCGCTAAGAACCGCCTCCTGGCTCTGATTGGTTGTTTTTAATTTCTTCACAAATTATCAGATTGTCATACCATACTTGTCACATGTAGTGAGAATTTCAACAAATATCTCAAAAACATATTTTTTTTAATCAAAGTGACGCACTGTAGCTTTAAACAAAGACGTTCATAACTTAATTCGAAGTGTTTAAAATGATTCTTGGTGTATTTTAGCGCTGATTCTATGTCCTCTTTGAATCTGTTTATTTCCAGGTCTGCCTCTCCAGATGAGCAGCTCCTGCAGCCCTCCTGCCCGGACCCTAATAAAGTCAACTTTACCCCCCATGGAGGCTCCGCTTTCTGCCCAGTCAGCCTCCTGAAGCCCCTGCTGCCCTCCATGGACCTCCTGTTTCGGGGCCTGTCCGTGTCGCCCGTCACTGGCTGCTCGGGTCAAGCCTCCCCCACCAGGCACCTGGGCATGCAGTAGGCGTAAAACCTAAACGGCGTCTCTCAGGACTGCACAACAATGCACTGCCAGAACCTGGAACATTTGCTGATGTTTTGATGCAGACTGACGATTACGTGTCTCGTTGCTGTGGGCATCTTTACCATTACACTCTGTGCGACTGTAAGCATTCGTTGCTTACATTCTTCAGGATAATGTGACATAAAATTCAGTCTTTTTGTTGGCTATTTCTATCTGAAGGATCTTTTCAGGTTTTGGTTTCATGTCTTCAATTTCCCAGGATTTTTTTTTCATGTCAAGTAAGTGGATTTACTTTCAGAAACAGCTGTTATAGGCATTAACTAGAAAACAAGTATGAGGTGAATTTATATGCTAAATGTGTTGATTAAAAATATATTTTAATACTCATCCCCTTCTTTTCTACAGATGCTAGGATAGACTATTTATTTTCTTACTTTTTTAAGGATTCATTGCTATATATTTATGTTTGCAATTTTACAAGTAGGACGTGAAGTTTTGATTTACTTGCCTAAAATGTACATAGTTATAATTCAGCTGATTTGTAGTGAATTTTTACATTCTCAATTACTCAAAAAGGAGGTTTTGGTGGTTTAAGCCTTATTAACAAAAACAATTGATGTGGTTGGAGAACCAAAACTGGAAACCATAACTACTGATCATCCTTTAAAACAAGGTCAATATTGCTTTTTTGTTGTTGTTCATCTTTTATAAAGTGTAGCAGTAAATAGTGTGGAAAACACAGGTTCTTGTTTTCTTTTTGTCCACACTTATTAAAACTGAAATCAAATTTTATTCTATCTTTTTTTATGTAAGTTGGTTTGGATTATTAAGTGCAGTGTTGAATAAAAAGCAAAAGTACTGTGCTGTGTGTCTTAATTGTTTTTAGTTTTTTTTTAAGCCTTTTAAATATCGGTACAGTATTTGTGTGTGGAATGTGTTAAATAGTAAATTAACTACTAAGGTACCAATTGAAAGTTTTTTTTCTGTTTTTAAAACTACTTTTATACCGAATAAAGAAAATTGCTGAAAAAAATTACAACACAATAAATATGGAACAACAAAATAAGATAACTATGAGTTTCGGTTTTCGACACGTGGATTTGCGGTTTGTATTGTGATTGGCTCAAAGAGGAGCTTTAATACTTACATGGACCAATGAAATCAATCCACATCACGACACGACAAAAAGGTACGCTGCCAGTTCAAGAAGCCCTCCTTTTCAGGCTTAGCTGTCCTCATTTATTGCCTGTATGGAAATCATAGCCCCCGCTTACTGCTGTCATTAATAATAATACTTGAAATTGTTTTCACGCTAAGGTAGTCAATTTCGCTATGCTTGAATAAATCTACAAGTTCTCGCTGTAATAAATATTTGTTTATTGATGATTTAAGAACTCAGGCTAAAATTGTAACGCTCCAGGGTCCTTTTGGATTTTTTTAATCGTCTAAATATAAGATATCACTCAATGAAAACACTAACTGCTGCTGCACTAATGGTTTAATATTGTAAATAGAAAAATATTCGGAATAATTAATGTGTAAACAGATAAAATGTAGTGATATTTAGCCGATCTGAATCGCTTGACAGTCTGTGGAAACCGACTGTCTGACGCCTTGGTAATTACCAGCCACAGTGCGGGAGAAATCCCAGCAAAACTTTTATCCTCGGGATAAAACAGAAACCCGATACCGGCGGTTCCGGGAGGTTCTTCCCAGTGGGTATAGTGGAGCGGGACACCGGCGTGCGGGGAGTGGGGAGCGGAGCGGTGTTGGTGAACCTGCCCGGGCTGGTGGAGGACGGTATGGCTGCGGGGAAGGCAGCAGGGAAACCCGCCTCGCTGTGGGACAATTTGCGGATCCGCTTCATCGTTTGTTTCTTCGGAGTCTTCGTGTGTTATTTTTATTACGGAATACTGCAGGAGACAATGTAAGCAAAAACAGTTCAAAATCATCGTTTAGCCAGTTATTTCCTAATGTTGCACATTTACTGGGACAGTTATTGATGAGCTTTTTGTTATGTACACTGAATTCAAAAAGTTTCAAACCAAGAAAAACATCTTTTTTTTTACTGATTGAATTTTATTTTTGCATAACTTTGCCTGTTTGATTTAATAGCAGACATATAATTGGTAATTTGGGATGGTTCTAAAAGCTTATTTTACGCAATTTGTGACATTTATGTATTTTGTGACACTAATGAACTTCTGGAATATTTATTTTTATTACATTTCCTGATTTTCAAACCGAAATAAATTCATTTATTTGAATTTCTGTATGAAATGCCTTTTTTGGCTCTGCCAGGTTATGTGTCCTGACCAAATTCAACCTTTAAGTTGGAAAATTGGTATTAATTAAATCACATTACAGGCAGAAATGATTAGAAGTTCAGACAGGTTTTAGACCACAGTTGTATTTTTTGTTTTCTAATAGTGAATTAAAAATGGGAATTAAAATTGGGAGTTAAGTATTTAGATGAGGATTAATCAACAAAAGTAGCAGGCGTTAAAGTAATGAATTAGTTTTTCTAGTCATTTTCTCCATGAAATGACCTCAGGTCATATCTGGTTTTACATAATAACCAATGCTTGTAATATTAAATATGGCTAATGTCACTGTTTTTTAATTACCATGATTGCAATCTCAAACCTGCAGCTGGTGAAATGTGTTTTGAATAAAAAATGGAGGAATAATCTGTGGTCTGTATGACTCTTGCAGCACTCGAGGTAATTATAATGGGGAGAAGTTTACTTTTGCACGGACGCTGGTCTTTATCCAGTGCATCATCAACAGTGTTTTTGCAAAGATCTGTAAGTACCTGCATGAACTGCAACTTTTCACACTGAAACATGAGAAATCAGTAATTCAATCTTGTTTTTCTCTCTATCAAACAGTGATCCAGTGTTTTGAAAGCTCCAAAGTGGATCACACCAAAAGCTGGCTCTATGGCCTGTGTTCGCTCTCCTATCTGGGAGCGATGGTTTCCAGTAACTCCGCCCTCCAATACGTCAACTATCCCACACAGGTGAATCTCCATTAAAATTCACTGGAATCAGGAACTGATTTAAGTATAAAATGTGTTTTTATTGTGTCCTAAAGCAGGATTTTTATTGTTTTAGGTATTGGGGAAATCCTGCAAACCCATACCAGGTAATTTGAAATGCATTAAATTCATAATAAATAACAGATCATTTGTGCTTTTCAACTTCCTGCTAGTTGCATTTAGGGAAGTGATTTATGCATGCTTGAACATTTGTGGTCGGAAAATTAATTTGAAAGAAACTGTGGTTTCTGTGTACATGTTGCAGAGGAAGTGCATAATCTGGCATTTGGTGATAAATGTAAAACTCAGGTTTTAAAATGCTTGTAGGTTTACTAAGCAGCATGTAAACCTCTAAATGTTTAAAAACTTAACTGAACCTAATCAGGATTGATAGCATATTTTTAAGATGTTTAAATGTTTAATAAATCCTTGCATAATGGACTTCCATCCTTACAAAGTTGCACATTTTTGTGTTAAAATTAAGGCCTGACAACATCTTAAATTTGTTTGAAAAAAAAAATTGTTAAATAAATAGTCATCTTACATTTTATTGTGATTAAATGTATTTTACTTGTGAGACATTTCTGTATAGATGGATGGAAAAGGTTTAGGGCTGCTGGAAAAAAGTAAAAAGACTTAATTTTATTTTTCACCTCAGAAATTTGACTTTTTTCTAAGAAATGTTACTCTTTTTAATACAAAATTTTGACTTTTTAAATGCAAAGTTTTGACTTTTTCGTGGCATAATTTTGACTTTGTATTTTACTTTAAATTTGTACTTTTTTATTATTTTTTATGCAGAATTCTGACTTTTTAAAAATACAGAATTTTGAATTTGTTTTAAAGCAGAAATGTGAGTTTATTTCTTGCAGATTTTTTTCCTCTTATTTTTTTTACTTTTTGTCTTTTATTTTTCTGAAAAATTCAATTCTTTATTCATAATTTGACCTTAATCTCAGAACTCTGAAAAATTCCCAAATATCTTGTTTTTATTTTTCTAGTTACCCTAATCTTTTGTATAAATGTAATTTCAGTCCAGTGTTGTATAATTACTCCAACGTGGAGAAAGATCGTTTTAAATAAATTATTAAAAAGCGTTTGTATATTTCTAGCAGAATTGATATTATAGCTTCATCTTTTAACGCTCGTCTCATTGCTCTGTTTGTTTTGCTCTCAGGAATGACATGCTTATGGTGAAAATTAAATCCTTTGTGTTTGTTGCAGTTATGATCCTCGGCGTAACGATACTGAGGAAGAAATATCCTCTGGCGAAGTATCTGTGTGTGCTGCTGATCGTCGGTGGCGTTGCGTTGTTTCTCTACAAACCCAACAAAGCCGCCGGCGCCACGCCAGACGACCACATCTTCGGCTTCGGGGAGATCCTGCTGGTGCGTAAACGCAGCCATGCCGTCATCTGAATTTGATTTCTCATGTCTGTTCTGCTCATCACGCCTGCTTCGGTTCCAGCTGGTGTCTCTGACGTTGGATGGACTCACCGGCGTCGCCCAGGATCACATGAGGGCCCGCTTCCAGACTGGCGCCAACCACATGATGCTGAACATCAACATGTGGTCCACGCTCATTCTGGGTCTGGGTGAGTCGGTGGCGCTCTCTGCCAAACGCTCATCGATACGAATATTCAGCCGGGAGCTTTTCACAGACTTATTATCCTTCCTGCTGTGGGGGAGAAACAGCAGAATCACCTGGCTCAACACAAGCAGCGGCTGGCTTAGTGTGTAAAGGTGTCACTTTATAACATTTCACCATCAATATTTATCTCTTTGTTCCTTTGTTGCTGCTAAAAATGGAAATTTATATTAACAAAAAACACAAACTGGCTTCATTTTATGCATAAAATGTAAAAAAAAAATGTGTTAAGTGTTGCACTGCAAAAACACAAAAACGTACCTAATATTTTTGCTCAGTTTTTAGTGCAAATATCTTAGTACTCTTGAAATAAGACAAAACCAACTTGGAAGTGAGTTTTTAGCAAGATGTAAGAGCTTGTTTTTAGTTAATAATTCCTTAATATTGTCAACAAAGAGATTATTTGACTTGTTAAGACGACATTTTGCCAGTGAAATAATCTGCATATTAAAGAAACGTATGAAAAGATGCAAAAAATGAAAAATATGTTGCATCCCTTCTCACTATCAGCCAATTAAAGGCTGTTCTGTATATTTCTGGTCAGTCATTAAAATTCAGTCCAAGCAGACCGATAAACTGATTACCAAAGAGCTACTGCAGGAGTGTCCAAATCGCGGTCCGAGGGCCATTTGCGGCCCTCTGGAGAATTTTCTGTGGCCCAAATGGACTCGACCTGGCCTGCAAATGTCGGTGTTTGGTGCAAATGAAAACATTTTCAACTTTTTACAGATAAAGTAAAATAGATTCCCATTTATTAACAAGGTTTTGCCATTCATCTTAGTCTTGGAGCAACTTGGAGAAAATATACTTTTATTTATTCTGGTTCAGCTGTAAAAATGCAACATTTCATCCAGTTGTCCAAACTCATCACATTTGTCCTTGTTGTGGAGATGTGAAGCCACCAGGGGGCACTGTTCACTCAGTTTAAGATTCCAGAACGTTTAACCCGAGAACGTTTTTAGATGAAAATGTGAAAAAAATCCTAAAATTGGTCAAAAATAAATATTCTCATTGATTTGTTTTTTATTTGTTTATATTATTTTGAATTCATGCGATTCAACCTGGGAAATCTGATGCTTTGTATTAATATCGCGTTTGCTGTCTAATGTTCTGTTTGTAAGCTGGTGTCCATCTCTTCCCTCAGCCGTTTTGTGGACCGGAGAAGTTTGGCGCTTCCTGAG